TTCCAACACAGAAAAGCAGTTATTTCTGGTGAGCGACTCAGGGGGCCATCATGGCCCTCTTGTTATAAATTGTTTCCATCAATTTATTGAATTAAATTTATATATGTTTTGATGTGAATTAAAAAAACATTAAAAGGTTTAATAAATCAGAAATGAAGTCGTTTGATGTATTCTGCATAGAAGCTGCATTATGATACGATAAATGACTAGAAGTAAATATATCTACATACATACCCCTATGTTCTTTAGTTTGTCAAATTGTAAATACACTGTTAATGTACGTCAACAGAATAAACAGCAATCACCAAGTACTGTCTATTATCAACAGAAATTGAATAATGAATTAAGGCATGAACTTTGTTTTTATTTTTTCTTGAAAAAAAAAAGAATCTGAATCAATGAATTTGAATTAATGACTACAGCGCTGTGCTCTTTTAATAACAGCCTCAATTTATGTTCCATTTCATGTTCTATTTCATTTATATCCGAGGAATACAAATTGAGCATCATTTATCTTTAGGCAAGTTAGTTTGACATAAAATCCTTCGATTGTTTAATTCTGATGATAATAACGCTTAGGGGAAATTGCGTTAGAATAATTTCGACACACGTGTTATGAACCATTTGATGGCTTTTATAACAAGCTACCAGTGCCTCCCACAAATATGTGATTTATTGTGCCCTTAGTCGATATAGTTTCATTCTTAAGAACTTGCGTTCAATGCAATAATTTGAAAACATCAGAATAAATACAAATGGCGTAAACGATCTCATCTGCTTTTTTAAAGTAATTATTGAAATATGTTGCATGTAACTGATTTAATGTTTGAACACAGCGTAGGAAAATAGCGTCATTGAATTATAGATGAGGTGAAACATTCATAAAGGAATATAAAAAATGCTCGATTCGTAAACTCTCGCTGTTACTGAGGATTCCAAAATGAAATTAAAGAAATTATGTATGGTAATAAAACACACAATTAAAATATTCAAAAACGTTTTTTTTTATCATTTGAAATTTAAATAAATGTTTAATAAAATAATTGCACAAAGCTTGAATATATGGCGTAGTTTCAAACTATATGTGTTTGCTGATATTCCTTGAACAATAAGTGCCAAAAATCAAACAATATATATAAGAATAAGTATGTGTTCCCTGCACTCTTCCTTTATGAAATTTGTATACTTAATATAAAGCTGCAAATTTACATCTACATATCTGTGTATGTTATGGTCTGTGTAAATAAGGCATGATAATTAAAAAACACTAAATGTCAATAGCTAATAAAGCTATGTAGCGGAGAAATGTCATTCTTTTCAACTGTCTCCCTCCATCCTGAGATATACCCACTAATGATGTTCAAAACTAATATGAGCCGCGTCATGACAAAACCAACGTAATGCGTTTGCGACCAGCATGGATCCAGACCAGCCTGCGCATCCGCGCAGTCTGATCAGGATCGATGCAGTTCGCTATCAGTTTCTTTACTTGTAATAGGGTTTGTAAGCGAACAGCATGGGTCCTGATCAGACTGCGCAGATGCGCAGGCTGGTCTGGATCCATGCTGGTCGCAAACGCATTACGTTGGTATTGTCATGACGCGGTTCATTCATTATCTAAAATATTAAACTATCTAAAGTTTCAACTGTTACAGTATATCTTAATTATGTTTTTAGTTATTATTCTGACAAAGGGTGAATCTTCCGATTTAAATAATATCAAATATGTTCAAGAAAAAAAGGTTGCCAGTGGAACACAAAATCATTTTTGTTTGCTTTTGATTTTCACTAAACTTTAAATTTGTAGTACTGGTGTTTTATAATTTTTTACATTTAAATAATCATTCGATGGCAGTTTTAGTATAAGTAGGAGATTATTCATAGGGGGTATAAAAGATTTGTTTAAGTTTTATTATCGAATATCTAACTCAAACGAAAGCAAATCTGATATAATTCGCTATACTGGTGTATTACATTAACTTCAGGATACAATTTAAAAAAGAAAAAGTGCAGCAAAAAGATACAAAAAAAGATAATTGACGGCAAAACTGAACAAGAAAAGCAATAAAGATACTAACTGAAACAATTCATGCATTAGAAAAATTATTCCTTAGTGGAATAATTTTCCGTAATTACAAGACTAAAAACGCATCTTTGTATGAAATCAATTATCTTCTCAAATTGAATTAATGATAAGATATCTGTTACAACGACACAGTTGATTGCACCATTATTTTTGCCTAATGACGCACCTCTGTCTTTGTCTGGCATTTATTTCCACAAGAAATAGAAATTACGGAGTAACTATCTGTTCCGTTAAATGTTGTTTTTGATACAACTCGTGCATAACAATTACGAAATAAAATGTCTATATATTGATGCATTTGAAAAGGCTGAATAATCGATAAAACTTCATCTTCAGTATCTTTTAAGCTGCTAAGCTGTTAAGAGGGCCTGATGTTGAATAGTTTCTGATTTTATTTTAAGAGGAAAAATACACATGTTGAAGAACATTTACAGCACTAAACAAATACAAATTTATATGCTTTATTATCTGATGCAAGTCGTCGAATCGTTGTATTTGCACGGTGGTATGTCTCAAGTTAAAACCAAAGTTAACACTGTAAAGAAGTTGTACAGATATAAAATAATACAAAGTTGAACAAATGCTTTATCTTAGGTAAGCTTTATTTACAACATTGGTTCACTCCATAAGTTTGATATTAAACAAACTGCCAATTAATCACCGATTAACCGAGAATTTAATATTGCATGGATAAGTACTTGAGACCATGAAAGCCGATATATTATGACCTTTACAATGCCGGTTTAATTGAGTTCACAACCTATTCATATTCGTTTCACAGCATGCAAAACCTACTCGCAAATTATAGAGAATATGTATGGTAAATACACTCTGCCTCTGCTTCATCTTTAAACAATTTATTGCTAATAAAATTTGAAGAAATACATGGTTACATGAAAATTAACAAAATAATTTTAGAAATAAATAATCGGTGCGTTCCTCTCAAAATTGGCTGTATAACGGTCTCCCAAAAAGATCATTGTGTATTATGCCAATAGTTACTTTTTAAATGTGATCCGTTTTACAATAATATTATATTGTCATACAAAAATGTTTAGTAAATGAAATGCTGTTAAATAATATATGTCAATTTTGTATGAAGTATTTAGCTATTTGCGCAATGTTATCAATTACATGAGAACGTTTATAAAATTGAATGTAAAATAAGTGGAAAATGTAAGCATTCTTAGCTCAATTCTGTCATCAATTTATCAATGTTTGCATTTATTGGGTTGTAAATTATATCTAAGATGTGAAACCCGTGACGGAATTTTGATTCATAATTATATTTTTGTTTGTAAATGTCATTTTTGTGGAAAACGTATATTTTATTGGACTGTCTATCGTGTCATGTATTCTGTGAACAATCTTTATGCATCAGATTTCTGTCTAATTTTATCGATAATAGGTTACAAATTATAATTTGAAAATAAACCAAATATCATTGACATTACACATGGCTGATTTGACGAAGACGCAAGTATCTTCAGTTTTAGTTGTATTGTAAAATTTCAAGAAAAAAGTTTTAGTTTCCAGCTTTAAAATGCTCTCTTCTGTTTCATTTAGAGGCAACTTAACCTGTGATCCCTTCTGAATCCTTCATTTAATTTTTGTATGCCTTTTGTTTGTTTTACATTTTATTGTTTGAGAATTCTTTTACTTGGGGACGGCACTTTTAATAAAATGGCATGTAGGTACCTCATTTAAGGTTTCCATCGTATGGACACATTTTTTGATGTTTCTAATTTCTAAACTTAACCATTGCCATATATAAAAAATGAAAATAAAACTTCAATATTGTAGTGCTATATAAAGGGTATGAATCTGTATCTCACGATGTATTTTTATAAAATTGATCAACAGAAACAGTTGTAAAATAGCATGTTATTTAGCGGACATAAATATTGAAAGTAGACAGAATAAAATGTTCCGGAACAAAATATAATTCTGCTATTTTAAGTAGAATCATGTGACGTTTCAGCAATGATTTTGTGCAAGCGACATTCGATTTTAAGGCAATTTACTACCATATTTATATGAAAGAAGCATTTTTGAAGCATTTGTTTTTAAAATTCAAACAATAATTTTTGCAGCAGATATACAGCTTTATGCACTTTTGAATGTTGGCATTTTCATATTTTAAAGTAACGTTCAAGAAAAAAGGTCATATTCAAGGCATACTCGTAAAACACGTCAAAAATGACTAGAGAAACATTTATGTATTTCGTCATATATTTGTTGATAACAAAATGTGCTAATTAATACGAACATGTTCATTAAGCAGTCTATAAGTACCTCTATGGGAGGCAGGTGGTTCTTGTTGTTCGTTTGTTTCTCATTCTTAATAAATAACCGTTACGTTTTGGTCCTCACAAACAACACAGGGAAGTCATGAACAACTGGCGTAACTAACACTTAACAATCGAATTTAATTGAAAACAAAACAAACAAATGTTAATTTCTATTTATATGTATAAGACTGTTATAAACTTAGGAAAGTGTATATGCTAACTAAGTCGCTGGTAGGACTGAAAGTATCAATAAGTCAATGTTACAACAGTTATATCTATGATAATAAGCGATGCTGTGTCTTTCATCATTTTTTTTCAAACTGGCAAGCATGGTATGGTGGTTTAAAATAGCATTATAGTTCCTATTAACTAAAGAAACAGCGGGATAAAAACATATATAAACCAGAATTATATCGGCTGATAGTAGAAAAACAAAACATTTATATAAATATTTATAATTTATACCAAGATGATATTGATGTATTAGCATACATATAATAAAAGGGTACTCTAAGGTAACTATTTATTTTACATTTGAGACGAATGCTCTTCATATAAAGGAAAATATATTATATAAGCTACTTTTCATATTCGTTTGTGTATTTTAGCGAGTAAATTGGTTTGAATCATTCGCGAGAAGATGAAAGTTTGGATGTAACATGGGAGCCATCACATGATGATGATGGAGACAGTGATGATTGTGAACAAATGGAGTGGGAAGGAAGTCAGAGCCAGGTGGCTAGCCGAAAATTTATTGTTTCAGAGACATGTTTAAATAAATTGTTAAGTAAGTGCTCAACATGTAACAAGCCTGTTGTTGTAGATAAAATAGTGAAAGGCTGCCTTCTTGTATGCACTAAGACATGCAGTTACTGCAATGAGACAGACACATGGGAAAGTCAGCCAACATTTGGTGGGTTGGCTGAAGGACACTTAGACCTCTCAGCAGCCATCATGTTTTCGGGCAGTACAACTGCCAAGTTCCTCAGAGCTTTAAGGTTTGCTGGGATTTCATGCTTCAATGATAGCACGTTTTATAACATTCAGAAGCATTATTTATCTCCATCAATTGAGCATGTCTGGAAAACACACCAAAACAAACTTATCAACGACATCCGTGGTAGAGGTTCTCCACTTATTCTTGGAGGGGATGGACGGTGTTGCTCGCCAGGACACACAGCAAAGTATGGCACATACAGTGTGATGGATCTGGACTCCGGAAAGATTCTAGACATACAATTAGTACAGGTTCGACAGTCTAATACTTTATTGAGTTTTATAAACTTTTAATTTTTATATTCGAGTCCGATTGGACACTAACTGATAGCTAAGTGATAAATGTTAAAGTAACATTATTCCCATCCAAGGGTATATAATAAGTGCACAGATGAAAGTCAAAAAAAATTTACATTTTGTCATCCCTGTCAATTTTATAATCAACTTTGCATAAATGATAAATAACTCATGTGGCCGTGGAAGTTTTCTGTAAATGTTCAAATTTATTTACTATTTTCCAATATCAACTTTTTAAAGTATAAATATATGTTTCTCATGAGACATTATTTCAGTCTCATAAGAAGTTGTATCCACAACGTTTTTCCTCACTGACATATTTTACTTGTGTAAAGAAAATAATCATGCCATTCCATAGCTGCTGTTGATAAAAACGATATTTATGTTTTAGTGGTACTTTTCTGTCCATCAACAATATTTGAAAGATATTGATATTTTGATGAATTAATTTAGTATCTGGATATAATGGAAATTCACCAAAAACTTATAATCAATATACATTTCATTGAATCAGTGAAGAACATGTCACTTTTGTGCCACCATTTATACATACTTTTATTTCAACATACATGACTATTGATTTATTAATTTACAGAGTAATGAGGTAAAAAATTCACATGCAATGGAGCTGGAAGGACTCCAGAGATCTTTGTCATTCCTGCTTGACGATTGCAAGCTTTTAATTTCTCACCTTGTGACAGACAGACATAGCTCTGTAAAAAAATACATGAGAGAGCAACAACCAGATATAATTCATTGGTTTGATGTCTGGCATGTAGCAAAAGGTAAATAACCAAGTGAAATGTATAAATCAATTAAAATGTGTATTTTTGTGAAGATAAAGCTTTGATCAATTTATCAGTGTACATACATCAGTATTTGCCATGCACATTTTCTCTCCATATTCAATGTTGTAAGATCGTTGATGGCAATTTTAGCTTTTGCGATGAAGGAAAATAACTGGTGCACTTCCATGCATCAGTTCAGACATGAGTGGACATTCAAGTAAAATCATGAGGTAGCTGTATAGGTGCCTCACATATATCATCCAATGAGGTGATGGTATTGGTTTGAAGTCAATGACCCTAACCACTTAGGCAGTTTCCATTTATTTCATGCTTTCCACTGTTTTACTGTAATCTATGTTTTACTGTAGATGATTATATTCTGATAAACCACTAGTTAAATTTATAAAATACACTTTTCACTGTAGCCGGACTATATCTGAATGCGGATGAAAAGAATATCATAACTAAATGGAATAACAGGCAAAAATAAATGCCGTAAAGCCTAAATTTTGCTTCTTTAGGGAAAAAATCAGTATTATCTTACACCATGTTAGAAATGTAACAGCATTAGAGAAAGTTTAACTGATCTGGTTCACTCAGCGAAATATATTTCAGTCTTACATGCAAAAAAAACAACAAATACCATCTATATATTCATATAGTAATGAGTCACTTATATAAAAGTACATAGGATGTTTATTTACAAACGATGCATTATTTTGTTTGTTGTCCACAGGGATCTACAAAAAGCTTGAGGCAGCTGGAAAGAAGAAGGGCTGCGAAAAAGTGAAGGCATGGTCAAGGTCGGTTAGTAATCATCTTTATTGGTGTGTTGCCAGTAGTGATGGTGACGGCGAGATGGTGAAACAGAAATGGCTATCAATGCTAAACCATGTAGCCGACATACATGAGGGTCATGGTGACAAGTTTCCAAGATGTGAACATGGAATCCTTGAAGATAGACTTTGGATGAAGAAAGGTTCATATTAAAGCAGAATACTTTAAAAAGATTTTAGTTGAACTCCAAGCTGTATTATTTATCCTAATAATGGTTGAATATTTTAGTTGATTTCCATGCTGTATTATTTTTATCCTAATGATAATCATGGTTGAAGCTGGAAGCTTTGATAAAATTACTCCTATGTTGGCTTCCTTGGTAAACTATTAGTACTGAGTCTGATTTAGAGAGGTAATGAAAGCATCATAGACTAGCTGAAATGTTGGAAAGATTCACTATATTTGAATAAAATTTTAAAGCATAATGCATCACAACTTATATACCACAACTGAGAAAAAAATAGACACCAGGTTGTTCAATGGTAAATTTTGAAAAAACTTGTCTACATTGTCTTTTATTTTTATTCTTAGGGTTCAAGCCTCATGCAGAACTAGCCAAGGTGGTGGAGAACAAGCTGCTACTGGAAGACATTCAGAAACTGTCTCCAGCGCAGCAAACTTCAGATATAGAGGCCTTCCATAAAGTAATGTGCAGTTGGGCTCCAAAATCTGTACATTACATGCATACCTACATGGAATCAAGGTTTGTTTATGTCTGTTGTTTTGTTTTCTGCATGTCATAGTGACTTCTTATCCTTACTGAAGGAACAAACAGGAATTTTAAGTTAAAAATATGCACCCCAATAAAACCATATACATAAATCGGTGACTTTAACTTAATTTTTTTTTTAAGGGAGCAATGGTTTAGTGGTTAAAGTGTTGCCTCCCAACCAAGACATCATGTGTTCGAGCCTTACTCGGGGCATGACTATGTATCTACATATGACACCAGTGCTGGTTTGTTTCAGGGAGCGAACTCGAAAGTGATTAATATAAGTTAAGAAATATTGATTTCTGATATCTGCATCATTTGAGTAAGGTTAAGATAAAAAATATTTAGTGTTTTTTGAGTTGGCAAAGTTTTTTGTTCTTCAAGACTTGTTATTTCTGTTTCTTTTTTGTAACTGAATAGGTTGTGCAAAAATGATTATCCAAAATATATTTTCTTAGGTCTAAAGTTAGTGCACTCCACTTTAATGAAAATGCTAGGAGGGATACACGGACAACCAAGAGTGGAGTGCAACAGTACACAATATCTTATCCAAAAAGCAGAAAGGGTGAGCCTGTTGTCAAGGATGTAAAAACTGAACAGACATTTGGTAAGTTATATGCAAAGTAGCCATTGGACGCAAAATATATCTATATACATTAATTTGTCAAACTCGTGCCACACTTTCTTTTAGTACTTTGTATATCAATACTATTGAAGAGTCTTAGTCTTTACATGATGAATATCTTAAAAGTTCCGTCAGCTTTGATATGTGCCAGGTAATTTGTCAGCACAGATCAAATCGGTAGAAGCGTAGTTTTTCTATGTGACATGAATAAACTGCATCCACGAAGGAGAGGAAATATAAAACAACAGAATTAGTTGATTTTAAGAGTAATTTCATTTTTGTACAATTATCTCTACAACTTTTCATCGAGTTCATTTGATAAAGTATAAATACTCAACTCTACATATAGCTTCTTTTATCATTCATAGTCAATGTGAAGATAATAGTTTTAATTTTGTTTCAGGATACATTACAGATTTGATGGTGTACGCAAAGGAACTGCGTTTGAGAAACACATCATACAGAATGGCCAGTGAAAAAAAGAAATCAAAGAAAGACCATTACCATTGGCACAGAGTACCCCAAAAAGACTTAATTTACCTAAATCAACTTTAGTGAAAAATCACATTTCAAGATTTAACCGCTAAATTTAAAACTACATGTCTCAAGAGGAGCCAAAATATTTTTAAAAAAACTTGAGAAAATGTACTTAGCTTTAAGAAAAAGTAGAAATATTCCAAATTCAAGTAATTATTTACTTGTCATGTGCACTTAATGAAGTGGGATGCCGTCTTAGTGTGATACTCTCTGGTCAAGGTGACCTTAAATGTGAAATGTATGAATGCTAAATTTCTAGAGAACTTTTGAACTGATAAACTTTTAAAGTGTTGCATTACACAGTTTATGTACAATTATGTGACCTTTCATTTGAATAACATACATTTAAACACAAACATTGGCATGTTCTCTTTTTGTTTGTTAACAAATATGTTGTAGTGAAATCTTTATTGTGTCATTGAAGATATAATTTAAAACGCTAGACTTGTATTTGTTAGTTACCAACCACCCCAAATTTTGAAGAACTTAGATGTTAGTTTATCATAATCATTATTCCCTTAATCGACTCGAATTTCTGTTTATTTTTTTGTACCACACCACTATTTAATGTGACACTTAACCACAATTTTACAATACCCTTTATAGGAATTTAAATTCTGCTCCTTTTTTCCCCAGCATTATCCATACTTAATGTTTTATTCATCTGACTTATACAATGCATTTGTAATTTTTCCAATCTAAAGTAATTATTTAATTACAATTACCTTTCATTATTATACTAGGAATTAGAATTTATAGGAATCGTTTTTATTCCACTATCATGTATTATCCCTAGTTGAGCACTCTGTCTCATAGACAGCTCTTGTCAATGTGTCTTGTACAGAAGAACATGAATGTTACTTTCAACTTGTTTGCATCTTTTTTTGAAATGAAAATAAATATTTTAGTTTCAACAGTTTGTTCTTTTTAAGATCCTGTTTGTAAGATATATAATAATATATAAAAGTTTAATTGACAGGCTTGGCACATACATGTACTACCTTGACCGTGGGCTTTTTCCTATTCCATCAATACTATCCAGTTAATACTGACCACTACAGAAAGGAATGTATAGTAGGTCATTTTATGTGCATTTAAAGATGAGCATTAGGTGGTAAAAGGTTTAAATTTTTGATAATATGGGATACCAGCTGGATTATAATTTGTGTCATTGGTGCAAACTTTAACATTTTCTTATGGGAATACCACTCACCATATGGGTATTTATTGACTGATGGTCAGCATTTTTATAAGTGGCAATAAAACATGGACATGGACACATTACTTGGCTTCATTGCCGAACAGTTTGCTTTCAGTGTAAAATCGTTTTTGACTATTTTTGCAAAGGTTTTAGAAGGGGAAAATAATTTATTCAATAACTAAAATGATAAACTAGTGTAAATTTATTTCCACAATGTACAATACAATTTAAAGAAACATCTATTGTGGGTATTGAAACCCACTGTATTGCTCTGAAGGGAACTGTGTTCTTATGGCGTTGACTGCACATGCAGGAATAACACGCCTACACTTCTTTGAAAGTAATCCGTAGACCCATCTGGTAAAACGCCTGTAGGCAAGGTATCGATACAACCTGAAAACATAATTAAAAATTAGTATTGATACAACCTGAAAACATAATTAAAAATTAACATTTAGATAAATGAGCCGTGTCACGACAAAACCATCATAGTGTGTTTGCGACCAGCATGGATCCAGACCAGCCTGCGCATCCGCACAGTCTGATCAGGATCCATGCTGTTCACTATCAGTTTCTCTACTTGTCATAGAGTTGGTAGGCGAACAGCATGGATCCTGATCAGACTGTGCGGATGCATGAGACACTGTAATATTCACAAGTATATCATTCATAAGAATTATAATCAGTTTGTCTGTCTATCTGTCTGTCTGTCTATAATTCACTCTCTGTGTGTCGGTCTGTAATTCATTCATTTAGCCTTTTAGGGAGTAACTACCAGTATCTTCAATCGAAGTACATTATGTGTTACATTATACATATTGCAATGCTGGAAAATCGTTTCTTTCATGACATATTTGTAAAAGGTTTTCGTTGTTTAGCCATTATGCTCGTGAATCATCTCGAACAAAAAGTATACTATATAAGTTGTTCTCTTGTCTATGTTTACCATGGAAAGTCAAATGACGAGGCCACTCCATCTACTGTAAGTAACCAAGTCTATAGAAAATATCAACGTAGGAAGGATTGTGTTGTTCATTTTAAAAGGCAATGTAAACTTTCTGCTATTTTGTAACGTGAAAGTTGCATTTTCAACATCATTTAATAACCAATCTTGAGTTTCCTTTTATTTCATGACAGTATTGTATAAATCGAAATTGACAGATCCCTATTATCACCTTTTTTATTTGAATAACAGTGAATTTAACAACAAAATTGACATTTGCACTTTTGTTCACAAATATGTTGTAGCAAGTTTCTAATTTTATCCACTTATCTGATAATTATAATTAGACAGGTCAGGGATCCGTTCAGTTCTCCTTCAACCGATGCTTGGTACAACAAAACTTGTATAAATACCATCCATGAAAAGATAAATTCAATCCAGGCGTGCATGTTTGATTTTGCCGTTGTTAACTGATTTATACTCTTTCAATTACATATTTCCAGTTCGTTAAAGTATTTTCCATTTCTTCATACCAGTTTAAAGTGATAATTCTGCTTATGTCTGAAAATGGATAAAATGAAACCTGTCAAATGAATACAGTTAACACATACAGACAGTTTCTCAGAATTATTTCCATTATAATTTATTAGATAAAACTTATACATCCAAAGGCTTCCCTTTTTTATTTTAATAACCGACTTAACTATATCTATATAAAAGTACACACAGCTAGCAAAACAAATTATATACACTAGAAAAATATGGCAATAAAGATGCTTCTTAAAATAGAATATACGTTTATACAGATAATCAGATTGTTCATTGTTTTTTTTTTGCATATCAGACAAGATAATATATTATTTACACTGGTCCTAAAACCTGTCTTACAACCCCCATGTAAGAAAAGTCTCGTGGTTTTATAAAAGGCGCCTTTACTTTACGTTCTTCCGATTATGTCATTTTGCAGTTATGAATAAAGTTGTAAATTCGTTCGTGCGCTACTATCCGAAAAAAAAAACCGAATGAAATCTTTGTGTTTCCTTTTCGAAATGTCATTAACATGTAATATTCAAGAGAAAAGAACCAAACACCGGTTATATTCACATACAGGTTTATCTAATTTTCTTATAACGGTTTAGTGGCAGAGCCTCGTTACTGGCGCCAACGCTTACCTTCGAACTAGATATTCCGGTCTTTACCTATAAATTATAGGTTATTACACAATTTACTGTACTATACGTGAATATATTTGGACGAGTTAACAGCTTGAAAAGTCGTATTGGACGAGCCGAGTCAAATATATTCCGTACTGTACAGTTAAATGTATAGTAACATTTTTATTATATATTTTATATCTTTCGTTTAATTTGCAATATCATCATTATCATCACCACCAACAACAAAACCACCAACAATATCATCATCCACACCAACAACAAAACCACTACCACTATCATCAACACCATCTTTATAACCACAAAAACCACTACCACTACCATAATCTTCAATTATAGCCCTGTAACTCCTGTCAAAACTGTTTTAAAAGAAAAGGTAATAATCCATAAATGTTTTTGTTGTACTATTATATATACATAAGTTTAAGGATTTGACTGATACAACTATTACTTTTTAGACGTTATTTATTATAATAATAATAATAATAATAACCAGATTTATAAAGCGCCCTTTTCATGCAGGGCACGTTCAAAGGCGCTGTACATAAACATTTAAAAAAACAATCACAAAAGTAATATTGGATAAAACGTAAAATATCAAAGAAGATACAAAATGAAGGTAAAAAAAGATATACCCGTGTGCTGCATCACACATAAAACGTTTAAAATGTCTTATAAAACCGGTAAAACTTACAGACTTGTGTAAATAACTAGAAGTAGGTAATTGTAAAAAGATGAGTTTTTCAAGCTTTCTTAAAAGACGAGAGAGTTTCACAGTCACGTAGTTCTGAAGGTAATGTGTTCCAAAATTTTGGTGCTGCAACTGAAAAACATTGATCACCGTACGTTACAATTCTGGAACGTGGAACATTCAGTAAAAACCGGTCCATGCAAAGACCTTTATTGTCTTTGAGGTATATATACTGTTAACAAGTTTGTAATGTATTGCGGGGCTTCTTCGTGAAGGACTTCAAAAACGTGAGTGAGGATTTTATAATCTATACGTCGATGTATTACTCAGTGGTATAGTGGTAGAAAACTCGCTTTGTGTGTCAAAACTATAAGAGATGGCATTTTTATGACTTTGACAGTGTTATTAAGAAATCATTCTTGTAATAGAATTGTTATGTTATATGTTATAGCTACTATATTAAGACAAATCTAGACAATTTAGCTGATCAATAATATAATATTCTTATTAATAGCTAGATTTTATAAAGAACAAGATAAAATAGATTTCTAAATTCAAAATTTCATCATTACAATTTTAAATGTTGAATACTGATTGAGCCGGTGCTAGGACGCGTAGACGTTCACTTGCACTTTGCAGTACTATTCATGAACAATTTTACCGTTTCGGGCACTCTTTGTGGATTATATTTCTCCCTATTTTGCTACATATTTATCATTTCAGTATTTGGATTTCAACAGAATTGTGTGGGGTGATTTATTATTTTAATATGACATTAGATATCTTAGCGAACAAAAACGAGAAATATATTGGTATTTTGTGAAAATTAAAAAGAAAAAACTTCTAATATGTACTTTGTACAATATCATGGTTTATAACAAAACTGTTTTGCTATTTGACTTAGTACAATACAAATGTTTTTGAATTTCATTTTGTAAAACAAACAGAATGAAATTATTTTTATAAACATTTTTTGTGCCTTTGTAATTCCTCAAAATATGGCCTGTCATAACTGAAATGACATTTTATGTAGTGATTTATTTGCCCAAAAAATGCATATTTTATCTTTTGTTATCAAGTCTTTTACCGATACTTTCCAATGGATTAGGTGCGAGTATTTAACGTTTTTGGAACGGATATACATGTGCACGTGTGCTTATACGTCATCAAAAGAATTCAAATGCATCGCAGCAAGAGATGCATCGAGGAGTGCGGTTAAGTAAATATCCATTTACACTCAAAACAAACATATAATATATTTTATGTTACGGAAATAGAGCGATCGTGCACGTATGGGTCGACTGCCAATATCCAGATGTTTCGTGTGCACAGTGACCTGATTAACAAAGAAAAGGCCTCGCAGAAAGAAAAACATTTAATACATAGTTTTACTCTACTAATAAACAGACTACATGTGTATTTGTTCTCCTTGCATATCACAATATTGTATCGGTTTATTTCT